GAAGTAGTGTGTGTGTGTATATATATATATATATATATATATATAGAAATAGAAATGGTGTGTGTGCATGTGTTCCAGGAGGCATGATCAATTCTGGTGAGCGAAAATGGAAAGATTCAGGGAAATGTTTGATAAATTCTGGTGAGCGAAAATGGAAAGATTCCCAGAGGCATTTGCAGGGAAAATGTTTGATCAATTGTATAAATAACTAGAGCAATTCCCCTGCGCTGTATAAATAACTAGAACAACTCCCCTGTGCTCTAAAAGATGAAGAAACATTCTATTGATTTTGAATCACAAATTAAACGAATGAAAAAATCCTCACATATTGATCTAATGACCCGAGATCAAAAAACCTAAACCCCAATCAACCAAACCAATTAAGTATCAACACCATTGTAATCCAGATCCACGATAATAGACCTCCAGAATCAACAAAAATAAACAAATTCAGCAAAAACCAGAGAGAGAGAGTAGGGGCTAGGGATTACAGCAAAATGGGAGAGATTGACGATGGTCCAGGCCATGCCTGCAGAGCACCCAAAGACGGAAAGGACTATGAGCCATGCGAAGAAGAGTATGAGAATGTAGATGGTCCACACACCAGGGTACATAAACCACTCCGTGTTCTTATTGAGATCCGGAGGGGGCACGGCCTGCACATACAGGTTCCCCATACCCGAAAAGCTGAACCCATCCACCATTAATGGCGATCCTTTTACCTTCTTCTCCTAAATTCCCACCCTTTCCCTTTTCGCTTACTTATAGAAAGAGAGAGATTAATGGCGGAGAGTTTACGAGGAGAGAGAAGGATTACGAAACTGGAAACTGCTTATAGAATCAATTATAGAATGATAAAATATTTGTACTTTTGTAGAGAGACATTTAATGGCGGAAGAGAGAGCGAGAGCAAGTAATTAAGTTTTTTATTTGTTTATTAATGAAAATTTATCAAATGACCAATACGAGATGAATAATTTAAAGCTTTATTTACATTTTTTATTTAATTTCAAAATACTCATGAAAAAACTCATGGAATGGCATTGGAATAGTTGCGAAATTGCAAAGTTTTAAACAATTCATCTCTAACGAATATTTTGATAAAGTAACCATTAATTAGTTACTTCTTTTTCTTTTTTTTTTATTTATCATATGGGGAATGAATATTTTGATAAAGTGACCATTAATTAGTTACTTCTTTTTGTTGTTATTTATCAGGTGGGGAAAGGTTTTATAAGCCAATTTTAGGGTATATAGGGCATCTATTTACAATACCAGCTTGTTTTATTTTGTACAAACGCACATAACTTTTATTACAAGGATAAAGCATAAACAATCAAACGTATATTTTTTTCCTAATTCATTTAGTTTGAGTTAGGAGAATATATTGACCATGGGGTATTTTAGTGTTCCAGCTAGATATGGGTGGTCCCACATTTTTAAAAGGGAAATGTTTATATAGAGCCAAGGCTCTAAACAATCAAATTAGACCCTACCTCAAAAATTTCACTAGAATAGGTTGTTTTGATGCTCAAATATCCTCAAATTGATCATCTCGACATCAAGATGCATGGACATGAAAAAAAATGGATTTCAAGTTTTGAAAATAGTGTATCTCGTAACACATTTTTTTACCATCAATTTTCAAGATTTTCAAGTTTTCATAGATCTATTGATCAACATAATTTTTTAAGCTTTAAACTTTATAAATAAACATGATAATATATTTTAAGGCTATCTCAAAGATTTATGGTATTGAAACCACATTTTCTTAACATGTAGGCTCTAATTTGATTGTTCACCCTTTTTAAAATATTGTTCAGTATTTCGAATTGGGAATCTGAAACAAGCAACTTTAATGAATAACACATTTCGAATTTGGAAATTGAAATACATAGCAGTGATTTGTGTCATTTTGCTCGGGCCAATACACTTGACCCTAATGATGTAAGTGATTTACTTCTTCCATGTTCCTAACCCAAAACAAGAATTAAGAGTGAAAGTAAATGCACTTTAGCTTTGGAACCCTAAGCTACCTAGGACATTTGCATCATTTGGGCCTATTAAATGTGATTATATTATCAAAGTATCCGTCTTGGTTTATGATCCCCTATCTAGATCAATGGTGTTTTAATTATGGGTGAGGTTTGTATAGAGCCCAAGCTCTAAACCATCGAATTAGAGCTCATCTTCAAATATTATCAAAAAATGTGGTTTCAATATTGAAAATCTTTGTGACAGCTTTAAAATATATTTTTTATCTTTAAGTATAAATTTTAAAGCTTCAAAAATAGTGTAGAACGAGCAGATCTATGAACATTTGAAATTCTTGAAATTTGATGGTCCAAAAATGTATTACAAGATGCACTATTTCCAAAATTTGAAATCTATTTTGTTCTCATGTCCATGCATCTTGATGTTGAGACGATCAATTTGAAAATATTTGGAAATCAAAAACAGCCTCTTGTAGCAAAATTTTCGAGGTGGGCTCTAATTTGACTGTTTAGGCTCTATATAAACTTTTCCTTTTGAGTATTTTAACAATATAGCAATGTAAATTATATTTTGTAAAAATGCCTTGTTTATTTTAACATATAAATAATGTAGACCATATTAAAAAATAACCATCTTTGTTTAGCGAGTTCGATCGGTAAAAATCAATCAACCCAATCGTCCAAAGTCAGTCAAATATTATTTTTGATTGGTTTTCAATTTATTTTTTTTGCTTTAGATTGGACCAGCAAATTACCTTTGATTGGTTTTCAATTTATTTTTTTTGCTTTAGATTGGACCAGCAAATGCACCACCAGTTGATGGTCAAACCAATCGGACCAGATTATCCAGTTCAGTATTCATAACTACGGAAAATAGTTCAAGGGCTAATTGAGTGAAAATGATCTTTTCATAAAGTAAGCAATTAGATGATAAATTAGTGGACTTTACGACGACCTATAATTATTTTTATTTTTTTGGCTTTGGCTGTTTTAATGATATTCCCTTTAATTTTTAAATATATAGAAAACTCCATTCCTTTGTGAAATATACCAAATTTCACTTCCTATTGTTTTTTTCTTTTTAAGGAATGTTAATTTCTTTAATTCTTTGGTATTTTTGTCAATTTTCCCAATTATCATATTGGTTGAAAGAACCCAAACAAATAATTTTGGTTAAAATAAAAACAAAATGCCCATTAATAGATATAAGCCAATGGGTATTGCTTGCATAAGGTTGCAACCTTAAACAATCAAAGTAATGCGCACCTTCAAAATTTATCATATGATGAAATTTTGAAGTAAAATATTATCAGGATAACTTGAGAATCTAGTTTCACATCTAATTATACAATTTTAGATCAAGGAAATCTATAAACCTATGAAAATCTTAAAAATAGACGGTTCAGATAATGCATTACAAAATGCACTATTTTTAGGACCTAAATTTTTTTTTTTCCTTTTTATATCGATATCAAGATAATCAATAGAGTTTTTTTCAACATTAAAATAGTCTTTTCTAGTAGATTTTTAATGTGCACCATAATTCTACAATTTAATGTTACAACCTGATGTAAACTTTTTCCTTAATTAATTCCTTGTAACTAATGAGAAACAAAGATGCTCGACAATACCATGATTATTACTACAAAAAAATGAAACATGGGCTTTAATGTTACAATACACCATCGATGCTCGACAAGTTCAGAGCAATGCAACTTGGATACGTGTTTGTAATTTTTAGCGATAAGTTAAGATATGACATTTATGTATGACACTTAGAAATTTAGATATTTTTTATTAATTTATTTTTTGTTGAACCCTCATAATAAAAGTATTGGAGTGTCATCGAATATCCCACCTCCAACTTTATCCATATGATGCATTGTGTAGAAAGAAAAAGACTGTTTTTTATTTAAACGATGTACAGACATGTCATATCTTTTTGCTAATTTCGGTATTGGTGTTTCATTTTGTCTAACACGGACACAAATATTTCTTTCATCGTAAGATAGGTTTATAGCTTAGGGCAAGTTTTTCCTGCTTCCCCTGCAGTATCAAAGTTCTATCCTCCCCCTTATCCAACCGTCCATTTTGAATGGAGGGCTAAGATTGCCCCAATCGCAATGTCATGTCTCTACAATATTTTATTTTTAATTTTTTTTCCATAAACTATTTTAACACTAAATTTTGGACATTCATTCCTCTATTAAACTCGCACTAACGAAAATATAAAAAATATTTTTTCAACAAAATAAAATGACCAAAATACTTCTAAAAGTTTTAAGGGGTATTTTGGTCATTATATTTTATCAAAAATTTATTTTTAATATTTTTTATAAGTGCGCCATAATAAGAAGGTGGCACATACCAAATTTCATATTCATACAATTCATATAAAAAAACTAAAAATAAAATACTTTGAGACGTCAAATTTAAGATCAAACTGTGAATGGCTCTCTTGATCAAAATTGAACGGCTGGATGGTAGGGAGAAGATAGAACTTCTATGCTGTAGAGAAAGCATAGAAACCTTTCCCTATAGCTTATAGCATATTTGAAGTTGTAAATTATTTGCTATGGACAATAATAATTTATTTGAATGAAAGGAATATATGCCAATAGATCAGTATATGTATTTATATCTAGAAGCATCACCAGCTAGGCACCATAATAAATTCAATCAACCATTAAACAATCATGCAAGGCTCCAGTTAGTGTAGGTGGGTATGTGACATTTAAAACAACAGCCTAATTTTATAAATGCAATTGTACACAAATTCTTCCCCATTTGTGCACAATTTTTTCTAGAGCCCACTATTATGGAAAAAGTTTTTATAACGTTGCAACCAGAATTAAAATGTACCTCAAAAATCCATCATAAAAGGTTGTTAGAAAACTTTCTAATTGATTATCTCAACATTGAGATGTACAAATATGAAAAAAAAAAAAAAAAAAGATTTCGCGTGTTTATCTCAACCGTCCATTTTCAAGATTTTCATGTGTTTATAAGTCTACATGATTTGAACCATTCTTAAAATTTAGAATATTATAATTACAGATAAAAATAAATTCTAAAGCCATCCTAAAAAAAATTTACTCCAAAAGTACATTTAGGATAAAATTTGGAGGCGCGCCTTAATTTAATTGTTTAAGGTTGCAACCTTTAGCAAAACCACACCTCTCTCTCTTTCTTTTTTTTTTTTTGTTTCATATACATCCTATGGCTAATAGAAATAGTTATATTTTTTTGGGAAGTAATAGAAATATTTTTACGCCATTACAAAGTCAGCTAACTTTTTTATTTGTTTGCATGTCTAGATCTCAGTTGAAAATGCATTTACTTATTGACCAGGACAAGAAGCCCATAAAAAAGTGCCGACAATCACCTTGCAAAATAGTTTTTTGAACTCAATGCGGTAAGGTTGTAGGTTGTTCATTTTTCTGCTGGATCTGGAACTTTAAAAATTCAAAATAATATTTTATTATATTTTAAAAATTATTTGTGTAGCAAATATTAGCTGATCCTAGATAGTTGGGATGAAAAATTCAAAATAATATTTTATTAAATTTTAAAAATTATTTGTTTAGCAAATATTAACTGATCCTAAATAATTGGGATGAGACCTAAATGATTGATTTATATGGAAAAAAAAAGCGGTAACCTATAAAATCTAGGGCCAAAAACCCCTATGGCCTCAATCTAAGGTCACTTTTGAACTTTCTTAAAATGGATGACCCGTATTTTAATCTTTCTCAAATAACTGGGCCTTATTCATGAAATAATTCTCTCTCAAAAAATATATTTTTTTGGGTATTTTGTTAAAAAAATTGAAGATATTATTTGTCAAGTCCAAAAGAACATGTGTGCCAAACTTGGGGCGAAACAACTACCCCCTAACTCTCTCAAGATGGGGAAGGAAACAAACTAGAACACCTCCACCCTTAGGCGAGCTAAATGTCTGGTAATGGCTTTTAGAGTGCAATCACACAAACCAAGGAGTTGAATGGAGGATAGATATGTGGGACAATGCCTATAAATGGTGAGATCATACCATCACTTATCCGAATTTTATCCCAACTATTTGGCATCGTTATATGTAGGGTTGAGAATTTACCGGGTTCGAAATTTGGATTCTATATGGATTTGGATCCAAGATTTGGATCCATATCCAAATCTAGATCCATATAGTAATCCATGCAAGATTCGAGTACAAGTGGATCCAATCCAGATCCAACTTGATTTTTTTAAATAATATATGTAATTTTATATATTGGTGTGGTTTGTATAAAATCGAGACTCTAAACAATCAAAGTAAAGCGCATCTTTAAATAGTGTCGAGAAATGTGGTATCTATACTGGAAATATTTGTGATAGCCTTAAAATATATTTTCATCTCTAATTGTAAAATTTAAAGCTTAAAAAATAGTATGCATCGAGCAAATCTATGAAAACTTGAAAATTTATGGTCCAAAAATACATTATAAGATGCACTATTATTTCCAAATTAGGATGCACTATTTTCAAAGTGTTTTCCTAGCCCAATTAATATAAACCATCAATTTTAATGAGATAGTTAGATATAGGCCTCAAAAGGAATTTTTTTTTCCCAAAATTTTTACATAACATTATCATCATTAGATTAACAATGGCAAAAAAGAAAAAAGTGATTTTGAATTTGTCAAGGCCAAGATCTTGAAATTCAACAAATGGGCGGTTGAGATTCATTGTTGGAGGGTGCTAATTTTGACCATATGTAAAGGGCAAATTGAATTTTTGTTTTTGTTTATGAGGATAAAGAGAATGTGTATGCAATTTTGGGATCATACAAATGCCAAAACATGGTTTTCTAAGGGTGTCGTTACATGATACACACACACGCACACACATATATATGTTATAATTTATATATCTGTTATTTTATATATGGGTGTGGTTTCTACAAGGTTGAAACCTTCAACAATCCAATTAAGGCGCACCTCCAAATTTTATTATAACATGTAATTTTTGGGTAAAAAATTCTTAGGATTATCTAAAAATCTATTTTCATATCTAATTATAAAATTTTAAACACAAAAAATGGTTAAAATCAAGGGGATCTATAAACATACGAAAATCTTGAAAATGGATGGTTTAGATAATGTGTTGCAAGATGCACTATTTCTAGAACTAAAAAAAAAAAAAAATTCTTCATATTCATACATCACGATGCCCGGATGATCAATTGGAATGTTTTTTCAACATTAAAACAACCTTTTCCGATGGATTTTTTAGATGCATTTGTAATTCTACATTTTAAAGTTGCAACCTTATATAAGTGTTTTCCTTTATATATACAACATATAATTATTTTAACTTTTATAATTATACTTTTTTACAATATACAAAATTGGAACAAATCCGGATCCAGATTCAGATCTAGATGCTATATATAATTCATATCCATATCTAGATCCAAATATTATGGATCCAAAAGGATCCAAATCCACATTTATGCTTTGTGGATCCAAATACAGATATTGGTGGATTTGGACCCGATCCGAAAAATTCTCAGCCCTAGCCATATGAATGCTAAGATCCAAAGTCAAAATATTAGCCTTTGTTTTTTCTTTTTCTTTTTTTGCAAAGCTAGTGAGGGGTTACCCCCATGTGTTGTACTACCATGTAAAAAAGGTAAGAATTACACTGGTCTCCGCCCAAACCCTCTCATTCGCCATGTATACCTCTGGTCCTCATTACGAATGTGAATTGGGCTCAATTAACTGAAATGCGAATTAACCATATAGGAGATATTCTAATTACATGAGATAAAAAAGAACTTGTGCCTATTGGATATGATTACTCACTTAAACCAATACATTTTACTAGTTAAACCAATGATTTACTCTCATTCAAGGTGAAATGAATTCCCTCTTTTCTAACTCCACCATCAATATCCAAAATTAATCACAATTGTCGTTTTTATGTTCGTCACACCTTATCTACCAATGTTCACGACATGTATTGAACAAAATCACACAAGGAAAAAGGTTAAAAAGGAAGAAGAAAAAATTCATCAATAAATATCAATGAGGCACAACACACAAATTAGACACTTTTTCAAGGAAAATTGTTTCATCCGACAGGGACTGCATTTCTACATTTGCAGTATCCGAGGTATAAAGTATCCATCTTAAAGATCGATGCAAATAGGTGGTCCATCTAAAAAATATTGAAACTTACAGTTCAAATGTTTTTTTAATATAATTATTATTTTTAATTTTCAATATTTATTTATTTTTTCATATTCATGATCTCCATGTTAAAGATTACATGTCCTTAAAAATTAGGTCCAAAAATCCATCTCAAAAATACATTTTAAAAGGTGACTCGTTTCTACATGGACTCGTAAAAACCGTGCCCCTTTTTAAGATTGATACTTTTAATCCAAATTGGATAACTTGTTCTCATCTAAAAATGAGATTTGTATATTTCTATCAACATCCTAAAAGCTAACCAAAAGACTTTTGAAAACCATGAAGTAATTAATATAAGAGCAACAATAAAATATCTATGACTTCTGAGGAACAATGTCTTTCATCTTATAAATGATATCATATTTGCACTTTGAGACAGTATACTACACCACACTATTGTATGGTATATGGTACCCATGTAGACAGCCACCTCATTATGGATGGTGGAGATTTATCACGCCTGGGTGAGTGGTAATCTCAAAAAACTGATCAATCCCCTCAGGGGGCTTCTTGTTGATAATCAACAGTGGATGTTCCCATTCTCATACACTTGGATTTTAATGAATCAAACTTCTTCCTTTAGGGTGAAGTTCTCTGTCTTTAAGAAATAAGGACCAAGCTCAATATCCAAGGAAAAAATAAAAAGTGAATAAGAGCTCTAAAACACTAGGACTTGGAGGGTTGACCCCCACCGCTCTTTTTTCCCTAGATTTGTAGTTAATTGAGAAACTTTAGGTTTAGGGTTTTCTCGATTTCTTTTATTTCAGCTCAACATGAAAATGATTACAGAAACCATCACCAAAAATGATAATAAAATTTACAGAAAATGAAAATAGGAAACAGGGGGAATTTACAGTCATTCATTGAGCTTGCAGATGGTTATAAACTTCTGCATTGCATTATGGTACTGAACTCCCTGTTATCAAACACAAACAAGCCGATGATGAGCATCCAAATGATGAAAATGAATACAAATTTTATTGTTTACAAACATTGTGCAGTGCTTAAAAGAAAAACTTCAATGGCCCCTGAATTAAGAAAAATACAGTAATCAGACATGACAAACACGCACGCGGACGCATGCGCACACACACACACACACATACATGTATATGAAATGTATACAACAATATTGTTTATCTTTTGTACAAGGAAGTCACAATTATTTTTATCTGTTAGATTTCAAATTGGAAGGTTAAGGGTGCTCCCTTTATCAAGCTTCAAAGTCCAAAATAAAGTTTCTCAAACTTCGTGACATGCTCTAAGCTGTCCGATTTCACATTTGATGACTAGGATTAATTATAACCTCTATATTCCAAAGATAAACAGTCCTGTATTACACAATCCCTATATATATTCCTTTGTTTCTTTCATAAACCTCACCGTTCGCAAAAGCCCTGTGAGGTTCAATAAGAAATAGAAATGGTCATCCCATTCAATATGATCCATGTGACAATCATAGCCCATGGCCATGAGGTTATCACCACCCAATCAATGTGTTGGATGGTGATGGCAGGAAGTGGGTCCAACTTCACAAATAGTAAACTCCAACTGATTAATTGGATGGTGATAAACCGCCATGCCATGGTTGTTACTTGTTACTATGACCAGATCAATCATATCATATTTTTCCTTCCAAAAAGCTACCTGGTATAAATGCCATCCAGAATACCATTGATATAAACAATGATGGTGGTGATGACTCAGATTATTCTTTCTCATGGGAAATCCAGCAGAAGGATTTGAACTTGGGATGTAGTATTGTAATCATCAACACCATAACCAATCAAGCCCAAGCTAGAATGCAGCGATGCACATGGGGAGGGTTCATAAAAGAGAATTTTGGGGCATACCTCCCAATAAATTTGATTGCAGTCTGCGCACTGCCAAAATTCGTAATCCTGCTGAAGGAGCAAGCACTCTGGGATCGCTTGCATTCCTTTCGCAGCTGCAACTGCTTCTGAACCTGTCAAAGGCCTAGGGATGAACCTTCCATTGCATTTGATACATCTTGACAGCAGCTGATCCTCACTTATCTTCAAATCAAAAGCCTCAATCACCTGCAACTCGAGCAATCGTTCATGGTACTAAGCTCATAACTATGAGAATGTGAGACAACCATGATTCCATGGCAAAACAAGTTCAAACAAAGCATACAATAGTGGAAGTTGCTCGATGAAAACCTTTTGTATACAATGACCATGAAATGTCCAAGACCAACTAAAGTGAAGTAAGAGTATATGCTGTGTACCTCGAGAAGTTGGTCATCTTTAGCAAGATTCTTGACTCTGTACATTTGGTTCCTGGATAAATATTGGCGCCTCAACAACTTGGTGTCACGTGTGAGTAAAACCCTCTTTTCCTTGATTGCTTGGTCTATTAGTTGCCTTAATATAACAAACATGTCAAATAGAAACTTACCTAACAAGAAGAAGAAAATGATCCTATCCCAGAATACTTATGAGACAGAATACCTTGGTTCTGGTCTCTTTGAGAATGGAACTGCAGCATCTATCCCAACAGATCTTAGCTGTTTTGCTAAGCCTTCCACCTATTGAAAATGGTGAACATTTCACATGGTCATGCCTAAATAGACCCAAAAAAGTCAATCAATCATATAATGTAAGGTGATTTACAGGATACAGTAAAAAGAAAGGAAATGAGCAAGAACTCCTCCATTGCAAACAATAGATCATGTACAAGTTTTGTGTTAAAGGCGATGACTAGCTAGGTTCCAAATCCTAATTCAGCAAAGGAGCATACTAGTTCTAACCTCCCTAGTAAAGATGAGGCAATCTATAGGCTGGATAAGTTTTGTGTTAAAGACGATGACTAGCTAGGTTCCCAATCCTAATTCAGCAGAGAAGCATACTAGTTCCAACAACCATAGTAAAGATGAGGCAATATATAGGCTGGATACAAGAAAGACCATGGAGAGAGAAAAAGTAGCAACAATAAGTATATCAGCCATCACAGGCATAAGGAGTATAGTCACTGTTTAAATTTTAAAATTTGTATTTTGAATATGACGTACTTACCATTACATCACACAAGAATTTAGGGCAGCCATCATTCCCAGCTGATGAATCCCATGGTGCAGGACCCTGCCAATCACAAAAATTTTCCATCCATTCTTCTTCACATTTTTTAACCCCTCGTCTTCTTCTTGCTTTCCTTCCAGAGGGCTTAGGAAATCGATCACATACTTTTAACGAAATTGTCTCTCCATATCTTTTAACAATTTCTGATAAAGAATCAGAGGAGACAGGAGTATTGCAATGGAGAGAAAAGGAATTCGTGGCCATTACACTTTGAACTACTGGTTGTAGATAAATCGATTTAATCATATCCACAGCTTGGCAGAATGGATGCATTAAAACGTTCTGGCCTAGATCCTTCTTAATGAGGATTTCTTTCAACCCACGTATGGAAGTCGAAGGGTGCGACTCTCTGATATCAAGGAAAAAGACATCATAAGTGTTTTCCCTATATCAGTTTGCATGTGCCTGCACAACAAGAGTGTGTGAGTGTGTGATGATGCCAAAGTCGTTTGATGCATTGGAATCACAAAATTACATCTTTATAAGTTGTGCAAATTGCAAATATGGGCACATTCCAATGGAAGAAAATCCAGAATACATGCCAAAAATTTATTGAAAATAATCCATGTCATCATCCACTTCACAACTTGTAGGTAACTGAGAAGTGAGAGAAAAGTAGTAGTCAACAATAGTTGTGTGTCTATGTGTATCCATTCTCTCAGAGAGAGAGAGTATCCACACCAATTTTGTTCCCGTCAAAGTATAATAAACATCTATAACATTTTGTGTAAGCAATTAACCTCAACAAACAAAAGAAAAAGGATTGATCACATACAAGCAGATCAAACCTTCATAGCGAAGTTTGCTCTGAAACATATTGAATATTTCCAGCAAGCATTGTGCATCGGCAGCAGCATACGAAATTTGATCTTCGCCAAGAGGTCGACATGCCCAATCACTACACTGCAGCTCCTGAAGACAAATAATTTCAAAATTACATCTTTATGGGAAGTCTCTAATAAGGCCACTATATGCTTGTTATCCAAAAAAATGTAAAACCAACATCTTCAAAAAACAGCACACCAAGCATCAAGAAATAAATTGAATAGAAAACCATTCTTAATAATAATAAATTAGTTTGTTAAGACAGCACAACCAACTAATGAAACAGAACTTGACTAGGAGAAAGACCTTAGAAAGATGAACACCAAGCAAATCTTCACATATGGTTGCTAAACTTTTGCTTTCTTTTGCCCGAACTTTTCCTCCATGATTCTTTCGTAGAAGATGATATATATTTGCAATATCCATATAGGGTTCCACCTGAGCAAACAAATGAGACCAACAATCTTTTATCAATGTAATACTAAAATTGTGGTTCTTAATAGCTTAGCATGTACTATAATCTACCATCCTCTGTAATTTTTACATTTTGCGCTGCAGTGACGCTGCTTTCCTCCACTGATGACAATTGATGGAAAAAGAAAGCAAATTTACTATGAATTATACCCTAGAGTCCCTTATAACCAGCTCAAAACTATCATATATCAATACATATTTGACGTGCAACTTTCAACGATTTCGTGGAATTCCCATTCTTCTCTCATTCTACACGCGCTCAAATCAAATTAGCAATTTATCAACCAATTCACTACTGCCACCACAACATTATGGGTGAGTATGAGTAGGCTTATGGACTAATTCTAAAAAATTAATGTCTATTTGTGTATTTGAAAAATATTATATACGTCAGCTGGCATATACCATGGGTAACCCGTTTCAAAATTTATGGTTCGTTGAAGCCCAAATTTTCAACATGTACACACCTCATCTAGGCGATCAAATTTAAAAAATGGGAGGATTATATAAGGTGCCTACCTCAAACAATCATAGTAAGGCATACCTTTAAACTCTGCCAAAACATACAATTCTAGTGCCAAAAACTTTATGATGACCTAAAAATCTATTTCCACCCTTAATTATATCCAAGTTCAGAAAATGATGCAAATCAAACAGAATTATAAGAACCTGAAATTTTTGAAAATTGATAGTCTAGATGACGTGTTACAAGATGTGAAGATGTATCAATTTTAGGACTTGAAATCTATTTTTTCTTTCATATCCATACATATTGATGTCAAAATGATCAATTGGAGGGTTTTCTGACTTATAAGTAACATTTCCCAATGGGTTTCTGAGATCCACCATACTTCCACCATATAAGGTTAACATCTTATATAAACTGATTCCCCATGAGAATAGCATAAGAAAAATGAGGTAATATTAGTCCACCATTTTCAGTGAGCCTCCATTTGGTGGACGGTTGATCTAGGTATTCCAAAACTCAAAATCGAATATTTTTTCTTTGAAATAATTTACTATTCAAACAAAATTCTTATACACACACACAAATGCAAGCACGAGCAAGCGCACACGGATTTTCAAATACATAATTTGGCAGTCTATTTTCAATGATGAGAACCATTGTTCTTCACTCTAAAATGCAGTGAGAATTGATTAATGCAAACGTTTTCAAGAAGCCATTATCCATTATCTAATTTGAGGGTCCAATGAGTGCCATTATCCTTCAGTATCTATTTCTCATCCTCAGATTTTCCATAAAATCTCATGATGAAATCAGATTGCTCACATTTAAAAAATAAAAAATAAAATAAATAACAGTTTTGCCCCTGCATTATCTCTCTCTCTCTCTCTCTCTCTCTCTCTCTCTCTCTTTCTCCCTCTAAAAAAACAAACAAAAACAGTACGCAGACCAAATTCAGAAAACATAAATGCTGAATGGTGATAAAAAATCACCTAGCATGTATTAGTCTTTTACCATTTGTTTGGGGGCTTTTTCCCACTAAATTATGTGACTTATATAAAAGGAAAAAGGGAGAATAGGGACACGCGATTCATCTCTTCTTAGTTTGAACTCTTCTCTCTCTAGAAAGGGGCTAGGGCCTCCTTGGGCTATGTTGAGAAAGGGACAGAGGTGAAGAAGGATTTCGTGTCCATTTTTAGTGGAGAAAGTGTATGGGCTTGTATTGCTCGTGTCTTTGGATCATCCAAAGTAAAACGGGGTAAGTCGTGGTTTTGGGTGATCACAATAAGGTAGTTTTGGATGATGATTTTCACTAATTTTCTCCATTGAGGTAACATTGTATCCCTCGTAAATTTCTCTTTTGATGGTGGAATTACTTGCTGACTTGCCCGTGGATGGTAGCCCTAAGGGGTGAACCACGTTAAATTCGTGTTGTGGTTTGTCTATCTAATTTTCTCTCATGATTATATTTCCATCTCTAATTTATTTTTCCTAAATTATTGTACACGATCCTAGAGCTTATTATTGGATTATCGATTTTACATATTTGGTATTGAGTGTGTGATACTCAATGATCGGTTAAATTGGGGTTTCGGGTATTTGAATCTCCAACAAGTGGTATCAGAGCATTAGGTTTTGTGCAATATTTGGAGAATGGCGAATTATCGGTTTCAGGTAGAGAAATTTGATGGAAAAAATGATTTTGAGATATGGAAATATCAAGTTCATGATCATTTGGTCCAACAAGGACTATACAAAACATTACTCGAAAAGGAAAAGAAGCCAAAATCCATGAGTAATGAGGATTGGGAGGAAAAGGACCTTAAGACTATGGCTACAATTCGATTGTGCTTAGCAAATAAGGTTTTATTCAATACAATGGGAGAGAAGACGGCAAAGGGTTTGTGGGAGAAATTGGAAAGTGTTTATCAAAACAAATCTCTTACAAACTGTATTCAATTAAAGATAAAGTTGTTTAGTTTAAGGATGAAAGAGGAGACAAAAGGTTCCGACCATTTGAACACATTCAATAATATTATTTGTGAACTAGATGTTGTTGGTGTAAAAATGAAAGATGAGGACAAAGCGGTAATGTGGTTATGTACTTTACCAGAATCTTGTAATAATTTAGTGACAACATTAAGTTGCACTAAAGAAGATTCACTTTACTTAAGTATGGTGAGTGTACTTTGCTTGCCCATGAACTCTGAAAAAAGGAATCTATTGGAGAACAGGAATCGGAAGTTCACTTTTCAAGGGGTCGTCGTTCAAGTGAGAGAGGTAATTACTCTCAATATTCTACAAGATCTAAATCGAAAGGTCGATCAAAGTCTAAAGGCCGAGAAAACAAGTTTGTTTGTTGGGGATGCAGTGAAGCTGGACATATGAAGAAAAATTGTACAAAAAGGAAATGACAAAATTCGAAAAAGCAAGGGAAACCAATAAGTCCAAAAATGAGGTAAATCAAGTGGAGGAATCTACATCCAGATTTATTGAAGAAGAGGTTTATGTTGTGCGTTGCAATCATGAATTCCATCAAAATTGGATTTTGGATAGTGGTGCTATACATCATATGTGCCCACACAAGTCATGGTTTAGTTCATATGAACCAGTGATGGTGGTTCCATGTTGATGGGAAACAACTTAAGTAGTAAAATGATTGGGATTGGCACGGTGAAATTAAGGATGTATGATTGAAGTATCCGCACACTTGAGCATGTTCGACATGTGCCGAACTTGACGAGAAGTTTAATTTCTCTTTCTTTATTGGAAGGGGGGGGTCTCAAAGTATCTAAGGATGCTCTTGTTGTGATCAAGGGCGTTAGAGTTGCAAACTTATATAAGTTATTAAGAAGCTCCAGTATTGATGATGTGACAAATTCGGTAGTGGAGAGTAATAATCTTCCACTAAACTTATGGCATAGGAGGTTGAGCCACTTGAGTGAAAAGGGTATGGAAATTTTGATGAGGAGGAAGTTAATTCCCACCATAAAATTTGGGGAATCCAAATTTTGTGAGCATTGTGTATAAGGGAAACAACATAGACGAATTTTCAAAGTCGGAACCATAGAAGCAAGGGAATACTTGATTATTGTTCACTCGAATTTATGGGGCCCTCACCCATAATGTCATATGGTGGTGCATTGTATTTTATTTCTTTTATAGATGACTTCTCAAGGAAGGTATGGTGTTCACTCTTAAATCAAAGACTGACACATTTTTGGCCTTTAAGCATTTTAAGGCCGAAGTTGAGAAGAGTACATGGTGCAACATCAAGACACTTCGCACCGACAATGAGAAGGAGTACAATTTCGATGAGTTTACAAAATTTTGTAAAGATGAAAGAATCAAGAACCGTTTCACCACGGTTTATACTCCCCAACAAAATGATGTTGTGGAAAGGATGAATCATACTTTAATGGAGCGAGCTAGAAGCATGTTGAGCAATGCAAGATTGGAGCAAGAGCTATGGGCCGAAGCTGTGATGACGGCTTGTTATCTCATCAATCGATCACCTTTGACGGCTTTGAAGAGGTACGATCCGAAACTCGTTGTGATTATTCCGATTTAAAGATTTTTGGTTGTAATGCTTATGTTTTAATTCTTAGTTGCCAAAGAAAAAAGCTTGAACCCAAACCAAAGAAATGCACTTTTGTTGAGTATAGCAAAGGTGTGAAATGATAGCGGGTATGCGATCCAAGTGCTCGAAAGATAATTACAAGCCGAGATATGCATTTTGATGAGTCATCTGTGTTGACAAGAGTTGTAGAAAATGTGACTAAAGAAAAGGAAAAATCTCATAATGACACCCAAGAAATTGATGTTCGACCCTATGTCCCATCATCTAGTTAGGGCCTATACCGGAAGAAGCACCCACAAGTATCAATGAATAAGCCATTGATGAAGAACGGCAAGTTGGTGAACCAAGTGATTCCCATGACGAAGTTGCAACATCCATGACAAGAAAATCTACAAGGGTAATTCGTTCACCCGAGCGATTTAGGGACTATGTGGATCCCGAAGTATTATATGCTTTGGTTGTTATGAATGAAGAATTTAGCACTTACCAATAAGCTGTGGAAGGGGATGATTCCATATCTTGGAAAAAGGCCATGGAAGATGAAATGTTGGCTCTTCGGAAGAACAAGACTTGGGATTTGGTAGAGTTGCCAAAGGGTAGAAGAGCGGTTGGTTGCCAGTGGGGGTTCAAAATCAAGAAAGGGATTGATGTAAGTTTGGAAAGGTATAGGGCAAGGCTAGTTGTAAAGGGATTTGCATAAAAGAAAGGTATCAACTTTCTTGAAATTTTCGCACCGGTTGTGAAGTTAGACTCCATTAGGTTGGTGCTTGAGCTTGTAGCATTGCATGATTTTGAACTTGAACAAATGGATATAAAAACGGCTTTTTTACATGGTGAACTTGATGAGGAAGTCTACATGCAACAACCTGAAGGATTTCTTGAAAAAGGAAAATAAAGGTTAGTGTCCAAGTTGAAAAAATCCATATATGGATTCAAGCAAGTATCAAGACAACGGTACAAGACTTTTGACATGTTCATGATTAGTCTTGGATACCAAATGAGTGGATATGACCATTGTGCTAATATGAAGTTATTTGATGATGGTTCTTATTTAATCTTAGTTTTGTATGTTGATGATATGCTTTTGACATGCAAGGACAAGGCTAGGATTGATGAGCTCAAGGCATCTTTGAGCAAGAGTTTTGAAATTAAAGATCTCGGGCCAGCAAAACAAATACTTGAAATCGAAATCCAAAGAGATCGACGGAGTGAGACTTTGTCACTTGAACAAAATAGCTTTATAGAAAAGATGCTTTATAAATTGGGTATGAGCAAGACAACGTCGGTGAAGACTCCATTAGCTCCTCATTTCAAGTTGTCTTCCAAGCAAAATCCGAAGACTATGGATGATAAAGAGAATATCGCGAAGGTGTCATATGCAAGTGTTGTGGGAAGCCTAATGTTTGTCATGATGTGTACTAGACCAGACATAGCATATTCGGTTGGTGTCGTGAGTCGATTTATGACAAATCCCGAAAAAGCTAATTGGGAAGGTGCAAAATGGGTACTTCGTTATTTGAGAGGCACAAGTGATTATGCCATGATATTTAGCAAAGTCTCGTGGCACATTCAAGGCTATATTGATGCAAATTATGCAGGTGATCTTGATAGAGGAAAATCAACTACCGGCTACGTTTTGAAGTTCGCAAATGGACCGATCAGTTGGATGTCTAAGCTTCAATCAACAATGGCATGTCTACCACCGAGGTGGAATACATGGCGACGACCAAAGCAAGCAGAGAAGTGGTTTGGCTTCAAGGTCTTATGGGAGAATTGGGTATCAATTCTAGCCCCACGTAAATACTTTGTGATAATATGAACACCATTAATTTGACCAAGAATCCCATTTATATAGCATCTATAGGATAACTCGCATCTTGATTGGTGGTTCTCGTACGATATCCGCGATTTCTCTTGACTTCTAATCCAATACAAAAATTAATTGGTTCTGTGACACTAGCAATCTGTTGTGTAGTATCAACTATTTTCACAGAAGGTGGTGAGATTATATCTTGAGCAGTTACATATTTAGGACCCCTAACATAGATAAATGCATCACGAGTTCCGTACAGATTGCTTCTAAATATAATTTCTTTCAAATTCATTAAAATTTCATGTATTGATTCCTCAATACCTACTATTGTAGAATATTCATATGGTACCCTTATATTCGACCCCATTATATTCGTCTGATACCATTATATTCGACAAGTTGTTGAAGATGGTTTGGTTCGGTTGGTGAAAGTTGAAACCAAGGAAAATGTGGCGGATATGCTCACAAAGACAGTTCCAGTAGAGAAGTTGGAATGGAACCTAACTTATCTAGGCTTCATAAAAAGATAAAAAGGGGATTATCAGTAAGGCAAGTAGGTGATTTTCTATCAAGGTAGAGATTATTGAATGGTAATAGAAAATCACCTAGCATGTATTTATCTTTTATCATTTGTTTTGGGGCTTTTTTGTTACTAAATTATATGACTTGTATAAAAGCAAAAAAAGAGAATATGAGACACACGATCCATCCCTTCTTGGTTTGAACTCTTCTCTCTCTAGAAAGAGGCTAAGGCTTCCTTGGGATATGTTGAGAAAGGAAAATATATAAATAATGATTTCTTGTCCATTTTTAGTGGAGAAAGTGTATGAACGTCTACTGCTCATGTCGTTGGATCATCCGAAGTGAAACGGGGTAAATTGTGGTTTTTGGGTGATCACAATAAGGTATTTTTGGGTGATGATTTTCACCAATTTTTTCCATTGAGGTACATTGTATCCCCTTATACATTTCCCTTTTGATAGTGGAATTTCTTGCTGGCCTGCTCGTAGCTCTACGGGGTGAACCACCTTAAATTTGTAGTGGTTTGTTTCTCTAATTTTCTCTCATGATTATATTTTCATCTTTGATTTATTTTTTCTAAGTTATTGCACACGATCGCTTATTATTGAATTGTTGATTTTACAGATTTGGTAAATTGAGTGTGCGATATTAAAAAATAAGTTAAATTGGGGTTTCAGGTATTTGAATCTCCAACAATAAATCCATACAGGCAAAATGGGAGCGACCATCAAAAGGTATGAGATACAGCACACAAATCCTTTGGAGAAATATATGAACAAATATCTCATTAATATTATAAATAAATATAACTACTTATCGGACAAGTATTCTTACAAACTCATTAATTACCAAAAATAAATAAATAATTACCTTATCAAACCAGTATTCGGATCCCTGTGAGGTGAGAGAAGAAGACAGGTATATCAAATCCTGCTTGAATTTGAAACCCAATTTTAAAACATTTGGAGAGATAAACAAATCCCTTAATGGCTTCCATATTGAAGAAGGGGGGAGAGAAAACAGATCCAATATGAAGACAAGGCAATTGCTTTTGTCGGTTTCTCTCGAATTATCATCCTCGAGAGGAAACTCACTAAAACTGGTGAGTTTGCAGGCGATTTGGAGGATAGAAAGCTTGGGAAAATTGTGAGAGTTTTGGGTCTGAGAGGGCTTCCACTCTGAGTCCAAACCAACAATGGAGGAATGATTCAGAGCCCATATAAAGAGAAAGAATTCGGACGAATCTGGTGATGAGATGAAATGGGTTTCTTGGTTGGGTACTTGGAAGCAATTCTGGGACGAAACTTGGTTTGAATCCATGGCAGCTTGGGAAGTCGGAACTATTTTGGTTTGGAGGGAGAGAGGGGAGGGGAGAAAGAGAGAGAACGAATTCTTTGAGGATTTTGATCCAAAAGTCAGATTCAATTTAAATCGAGTATATAATTTTAGGTTAGATTATATTCGATCAAACTAAATCGCACTTTCAAATATCGCATTAAAATATATATTTTTATCTTTAATTATAAATTTTAAAGCTTTAAAAACATTGTAGATCTAACGTACAATGAAAAATTTGAAAATTTACCGTAAAAACAAAAATTACAATAAGTATTATTTTTAAAACTTGAAATCTATTTTTTTCTCATATCCATGTATCTTGTGGATATGATAAATTTGAAGATATTTGATCATCAAAACAACATCTTTTATTGAAACTTTTTAAGTGCACTCTAATTTAATTGTTTAGAGCCCCGACTCTATATAAACTTATTTCATGATTTTTAATAAGAAAACAGTTAATATAAATGTCAGGCTCAAAACCACCATTAAATTAGATGGCATCTCAAAAATACCTCAAACTTTTGACAATAAGATGTTGTTTTGATGCTCAAATATTCTCAATTTGATCATCTCAACATCAATACGCATACACATGATAAAAAAAATAGATTTCAAGTTTTGAAAATAATATATCTTGTAATGTATTTTTTTACCGTTGATTTTTAAGATTTTAAGCGTTCATATATCTACTCGATCTACATTATTTTTAAGCTTTCAATTTTAGACTTAAAGCTGAAAATATATTTTAAGGCTAACACAAAGATTTAGAGTATGGAAACCACAATTCTTGACTTTATTTGGAGGTGTGCTTTATTTTGATTGTTTATTGCCTCAGCTCTATAGAAACCGCACCCATTTTTCAACTATTTTTTCTAGGATTTAATTAATAAGCGCTTCGATAAAATTTTTAGCTTTACTCTGTTTCTAATGAAATCCACTTTTTTTACTCGCTATCTAATTTTATGAAGATATGCGTTGAATTTAAAAATATTTTTAAATTTATATTTCTATGTTATTGTTAAATGTATGTAGATAATTGAAATGATTTTCTCACTTTTGCTTGAATTATAATGCATCGTATTTTTATTTATTTTTTATCGGTCTGTTTTTTAATAAATATCGATTTTACTCAATTTAATTTAGTATAACTCACTTCTAATTATTTAATTATATCATGTATTATTATTTATAAAAAAATTTGCATTTGCCATAAAGAGCCAAAATATGACAATACCTCCAACTATTACTTGAACAATAAATGGCATTTCCTTTTAAGGAAAGTTTTATATGATTTCCCTCCAGCATAGAAGTTCTATTGTCCCTTTTATCCAACCGTTCATTTTGAGTGCGTCCCAATGAGAAGATTGCACGTACCAAAATTCATATTCATACAATTTGTATAAAAAATTTAAAAAAAAATACTTTGAGACGTCGGATCTAAGATGAAACGGTCAGTGGCTCTCTTGATCAAAATTGGTTGGTTGGAGGGTAGGGTGATGATAGAACTTTTAGGTTGTAGGGAAAGCATAAAAACCTTTTCCTTTTCATAATTTAGTCATTATTGGGACACAAAGTCCAAACAAAAAATTCTTAAAATGTTGTTACACATTTTCATCTATTGGATTTCACATCCAATAGCTAAAAATCATTGTGACCTATTTGTACAGAAAAAATGAATAGTCTCCTAATATATAATTTCTAAAATTAAAATATACAATTAAAATGTTACACAACTAATCTATTAGGATATCTTGATAGTCTCCCAAGCTGAAAAAAAAATTGTTTTGTCGTGAAATCATTAAATTATGTAAATTGTAACTAAAATGGGTAAAATATAATTGATGCAACTTATATAAAGTGCTTAAGTAAGATGCATTTCCAAACCTACCAAAAGACGCGTTTAAAACTCTATCAATGGTTTGAAATTTACTTTCCCCCAAATATGATTTTTAAAAGTTAAAAAATGGTTCGCAAATTTATAAATATTTTAAAATATTGAAAATAGGCAATCTAAATATTGGTTACAAAATACTTTGAAAACTTTTTAGTGATAATTTTGTTTTAATGCAAGGAAATTACAATCATCATTGTCTATCATATTTCAAATCGTGGGTGATTGTGAGTGTGTTAATGACTAGATTCGAAGTTAGAAAAAAATGAAACTCCAACATTGCAACATACCCAGAGCCATACAACTCAACATCTAATGGCCTTTGGCAATTGGAGTCTCCTTTTAACAAAGGTAATGAGCCCATAGTATACAATAATTTTTTTTAATCTATACATCGCAAATTCAAGATTATAAATTGGGAAATTTTCTAGCATGGGAGCAACATTTTCTAATGGAAAAAAATTTAAGTCAAACTTATACTGTAAAAAACCCACTAAACAAGGTTGTTCTTATGCTAAAAAAACATTAAAATCGATCATCTCGGTCTTAAGATTCATAGACATGAAAAAAATAAGAATTTTAATCTTAAAAATGGTTCATCTTCTAACACATTATATAGACCATCTATTTTTAATATTTACAAGTATTTATAGATCTGTTTGATCGTTACCATTTATAAAACTTTAAATTTCGTTATTAAGGACAACAATAGATTTTCATACTATCGCAAGGCTTTGCGGCACCGAATCTACATTTTCGGTATAGTTTTGAGGTACACCTTACTTCTTCAACAATGTCAACACATTACGCAAACGTCACCGTATCCTGATAGGTTATTGAAGTGTGCTTCACTTCTTTAATGTAAGATTGACACCGTGTATAAATATTTTCAATTAATAACTTTAAGCTTCATCAACACACATCCCTAACCTTTCGATTTTAAATCTAACAGCAACTAGTAACTCTGTTAATTGTTACCACAGATAAATAAACTTATTCTATACTTTTTAGGCCAAAAACATTAATGATTTTATTTAGGCCAAAAACATTAATGATTTTATCATATATACGACATGATAGAAAGGGAACATTTAAGTTGAAATCTTAAATTATTTAATTACTACAAACATATGCAATTAAAAAAAAAAGCCAACACAAAATAACTGGGATGCGTGTTTTGCTTTGGCGCCAAAACCACTCTTTCCCGCGAAATTGACACAGCGCGGGAAGTTTCTCTCTCTAGCGCTTGGAATGGATCAGCGTCCTCTCTGTGTCTCTCTCCTTTCTTCTCACGCATTTTTATTTGTGTCCACATCCATTTTATCTTTCATACCCATTTGTTTCCTCAATCTCCCTTCCTTGCCCCACTCTCTCTCTCTACAAATTATATCCCTCGTAAACCCCGTCTTATTTCTCTCTCTAACGCCATTTGATTCCCCTCCCTCTCTCTCTTCATTACCATCTTTCTCTCTCCTCACCATGTGATTCCCCCCTCTTTTCCCTACCCACATTCTGCCTCTCTCTCTCTCTCTCTCCACCTTCCATTGTTTCCCTCTCTCTTCTTTCTTCCTCTATCTGATGGGCAAAGCCAAGGCAGCTGCCTTATTGGATCTGCTTCTCCAATGACCATAGCAGGGCCCGTTCTGTAACGTATACTGCCTCCTCTTTCTCCTCTTCTTAGCTTTCTCCATCTTTTGGGCTCTGCAACTCCAATGGCTCCCACAACACTAACTCATTGCTTCAATATCTGAATCTTCTCGGTTTGTTTTCACTCTTGTGGCTCTCTATCATGAGAGAAGAGACCCCAAGAGAGAAAACATAGAGAACACAGTAGATAGCAAGAGAGATCAAATCTAGGGTGCAATCCTGTATCTCGCATCTTTTACATTTGTCATTTCCATTTCTTTGTTCCTCTTCAGTTTTCAGTCTCTTCTGGTTCTCACCTTTCAATGGGCAAAACAAAACCGGTGGCCTGTAACCCTAGATTTCGAAGGAGAACTCAGGCACCGGCTCCTCTCCAGAAGAAGAGCGATGGCAATGTGTCTTCTTCTTCTTATTCAGATCTGGTTTGTGAGGTGTGCTCTTCTGGTGGTAATGCAGCTGAGCTATTGCTCTGTGATGGCTGTGATCATGGCTTCCACATATTTTGCCTTCGCCCCATCCTTGCTCGAGTCCCTTCCAGTTCCTGGTTCTGCACTTCCTGCTCAAATCGAAGAAATTACAAGCGTAAGAACAATACCCATTTGCCTTTTATTCCTTTATTTCCAGTACTCATTATTTGTTTTTAGTATTGTTTTTCCTGGTCAAGTCGAAGAAATCACACTCTATAGAAGATGACCCATTTCCTTATCATTCATTCCATTCCTTATTTGATTTTGCAATTGTTTTTCCTGGTTCTGGTTGTTTGTTTTCCTGGATTTGCACTTGCAGAGGAGGGACTGTATTCTTATTTTCCCCTTTTGTCCTTTTTATTTTGTAGCTTATTTCTTTCCGCTTTGAGTTATTTTCCCTTTTTTTGATGCATTTATGAAGGTGATTTTTGCTTTTTATGTATTTTTATTTACTTATTTTTCTATTTATTTGCATTTGTAAAGGAGGATTTGGGTGGTTAATTTCCTACGCATAAAGAGATTAGCTATAGAATTAGTTAGATAATCAGATTTGGTTTTATGAGAATGGCATCGGTATTAAATCTGAGGAAAATAGCAAAATTATCTGAATGCAATTTTAAGAAAGGATTTTATGAAGGGTGTAGCAGCATTGGACTTTATTATCTTTGTGTATTTTCGGTGCGATAGATGTCGGTTGTGACAGAGGGAGGGAGGGAGGGAGGACTGATTATCTTTGTGTATTTTCGTTTTGAGGACCAGTTTTATCTTGGCTTGGAACAATTATTTACTCGTGTCTTTATTCACTTACTCTGTATATTTATCGCAGAGTTCCCTCTTGTGCAAACCAAGATCGTGGATTTCTTCCGCATTTGCAGGTCCTCTAATGATGCTCTGCATAAATCTCCTCAAGGTATTGTTCTCTATATTTATCTCAATTTTTATTTAGATGTTCCTTTCTGTTTTCTCATTTTATCACTGTAATTTTTTTTGGAAGTTCAATTTATATTTCCAAACTTCGATCTCTTTTTTTTCTCATTCTCCTCATTCTTTATTTTATCACATATCCCTAGAAAACAATGCTGAAAAAGAAATTGAGCCCTTCCCTCTTTTTCTCCTGGGTTAGTGAAATTTGATTAAGTGCGGTGCATTCTTTTAGATGCACGGAAGCGAAAGAAGCGCAGTGGAATATTGATTTGCACAAAGAAGAGGAGGAGACTTCTTCCTTTTAACCCGAGTGAAGACCCACAAAGGAGATTGGAGCAAATGGCTTCTCTTGCCACTGCTCTCACGGCCACTGGTGCAGAGTTCAGTAATGAACTAACTTATAGGCCTGGCATGGCTCCTATGTCAGCTAATAAGGCATCCCTTGAGCAAGGAGGAATGCAGGTAAATCACAGTGTGTCCTTTTCCTTTGCATTTTCCTATTTATATTTGATGTACTTATTCAGTTTTTAACCTCTTATTGGATGAAGAATTATGCATGATTTTGATAGTTTATTCCTTTATGTTCTATTTTGTTTGTAGCTTTTATCTTATATTTTTTCCTATTTCTTTATCTTTTGCTTGGACCTAGACTTTTGGCAAATATGTCCAACAATCCTTGGACTGAAAGCTTAAAAGATAAATGAAAAACACAAGTTAGGGTTGTTCTGTATATATTCAAATTTTTGGCTCAGTTATTCCCTTGTTTTGGCTGGGCTAGTGATGAGATTAAATTAACAAATTGTAGTAAGCAAAAAAAATTAGTGGGAGCCATGGAAAGAACATAGAACAAAAGAGTGGTATATTGCATTGTAAACTGGTGCAGGCATGAAAAATTATTTGAAGCAAAATTAGGGTAACTTCATGCCCTTGTTGATTACCAAGTCCCTGACGAAGTTTGGGAGTTTACATGGCCATGCCACAACCTAAACTGCCACCCTGTATCCTTATAGCAATGAGATATATGCTATTTGATTCCTCAAAGGGCCGGCATGCTTTACTGGATGATATTTCTACCTTTAATTGATTCTTGACCTCTGTCCCTCTTGCAGCTGTTGCACCTGATATGCTTGCAAGTGCATGTTGCAACCAGGGATTCGGCTGCAAATAAAGTAGCAAATTTTTTTAATAAAGATTCATACAAGGCTGAAATTTCTGCATGTAGTGGATCTTCATCTTAGTTTTATCATTCAACCACTTTAAGCAATCAATCAGTGTCTGGCACCTATGCCAGATTCTTCTCTTGGAATGCACGCATGGAATTGCATTTGTACTACGGGACCTTGGTTATTGAAATAGCTGTGAGGGTGTGGTTGCTTCATGTCATGAGCAATGGCTTATGCTCATGTGCTCCATATTATTGGCATGGGGATGGGGTGGTCCAAAATGTATAATCCATTGTACTTTCTAGTTTTGAATTTATGAACACTAGCAGTGAGTGTAACTTATTCTCCATCCTATCATATAGGTCAATATCTTACAAAATGTGTGTTTCTTGAGGTTTCTGTAATGTGGGAAGCACTTTTAACTAGGTCAAGGCGTTTGCTGAATTCTTCTTAGATTGCCTGCCAGGAAAATGTTGTGGGCGCTGTTATTTTTGTTCTTGCTAATGCTTTGACATGATAATAGTTTGCAGTGTTGGAGGAGTTTTTTGGGTAAGTGTATTGGAGGAGTTTCATAGCATATTTTATACTACATTTGCAAAAGATGTTGCATCATATGCCTCGTGAAGGTGGAAGAAAGGGAATCCACTTCTTGTCCTCTAAAATGGTTCTAATTGTCCAACCAAAACCAGGACCTTGATTGTGAGACTTAGTGCTCTAGCCAGCATGAATTCTAGAGGACATTAATTTGTTATGGTGAATGCCAGATTTAATTATCACAAAGGCTTTGGGAGTTAAAACATCCATTGGTCATCTAATATTGTAGGAAAGATTGTCGACCTGACTATTTTTTTTGAGAATGTTAACTTTTATATATTGTTTAGGGAGTACAAGGGAGAGAGAGAGAGGGATAAGCTATCCACAGGTGGATAGCAGAGATGCAAAGGGGGGAGATAAAGAGATAGAGAGAACAAAAACCGGAACAAAGGCCTTCTTTTTGAAGGTTACATTGAGTCAACACAACAAAAGAAAAGAGCCCATTCCAAAATTTCTTAAGCTCCTTCATTGAGAGCCGCTGCTTTGGCCATGGCATCTGCGACATGGTTTTCCTCCCTCCACGTGCAGACGATGATCAAACCCCTTCAAAAGTGGAAGATTTCGTCAAAGATATGGTTTAGGACCCTTGGAGTTGAAGAGGGGTCCTTGGCACAAGAGATGACATTCTTGGAGTCTCCCTCTATTAAAAAGGTCGTGTTTGTGAAGGGTTAGACAATTCTGATACCCTCTATCAGCGCAGTAGTTTCTGCCTCTATAGTGCGTGGTCCCTAAGAATAGCTCCTACTCCTGAGGGGCTGGAATTCCCTAGAGAGCACCCATCGAAATTAAGTTTAATTTGTCACAGGGATGGAGGTTGCCAGTTAGAAGCTCTAGGAGGTCTTCTAATGGAATGCTGAAGTGTGGTGTTCCAATTCTGGTAGAAAGGCGAAGTTGGGATGCCTTGAAAGTTTTTGTGGTTGATGACCCAAAAGACAAGCCGCGACTTGATTTTGGAGAATACCACAGCTGGACTTGCGTATTCCCCTTGAAAGATCCTATTATTGCGTTCTATCCAAAGAGCGTAGACTGTTGCCACAACTGTTTTTTTCCATAACAGGATCCTTGTCGGGGACCACGGGAAAGGTTCAGTAGCACTTAGTAGTGAAGGGACCTCTTTGGGTAAAACCCATTGGATGTTAAAGAGAGACAGAATCCTCCCCCATACATCAAAAGGAAACGGGCAGAAAAGGAACAAGTGTGGATTTGACTCTTCCTCATCAAGGCACTTGGAGCATCGATTTGGAAGAGAGAAACCTCTTCGCTGTAGATGATCTACCATGAGCACTTTTGAGGATAGCGCGGTCCACATGAACATCTGTAATCTTGGGGTGCAAAGGAGGTCCAAGCTTGGGCCACTATTGAGGGGGGATTAAGAGGAAAGGTTGGTGGTTGAGAAATGAAAGAATAGAAGGAAGAGAGAGAAAATCCCTGAGGCAGCTGGTGACAAGATAATTTTGTCACACTCATGTTGAACTAGAAAGCATGAAGCTAGGGAATGTCAACCTGACTATGCTATAATAGTCACATCCATAGTCAGATTGACTATGCTATAATAGTCAACTTGACTATTATAGCATAATTTTGTAGAGAAGCTCCCATATAAGAGGTTTACATTATTATTTCTCACACTTTGGCTATATCAAGTTTGATACATATGGAGTCACCTCTAGCATTTCTTTTCAGGTGGTTGACTATTGCTTAAGCAAATATGATATTCCCTGCAATCCATTGGGTTTGACAAAGGCACCTTTTTTCCTTAGAAACATGCTTTAGGCATAAATCTTGGGGCAAAATTACGTGGATTTTTCTTTAAACTTGTTACCATGGGGGATTTAAGAGTGATTAATAATTGCGACAAAATCAGGAGTGGAAATTTGGGATCTAGAAGGTCTTGGATGCAAAGGGGTATCTCTTCTATGTCCTGCTTGCTGGTGAGTTTGTAGGTGGGAATTCTCTAACTAAAAGAGCAGCTGCTGATATTACCTAGACACAATGTTACATGGACACCGACATGGGTGTCGTGTCTTTGGTGTCTTGTACTTATGCCTAAAAACCCAATACAGCTCTGACACATTTTATATATAAATTTATAAATGCATAAATGATATAAGAATTTTAAATATAATAAATGAAAATTTAAAAATTTAACTTTTAAAATGAATATAATTTTATACAATAAAGATAAAAAATTATCTGTTTCTACTCTTTCATTGTTCAAAATGATACTTTTTAAATTGTTCTAGTAATAATATTTTGAATAATGTATATTAATCTTTGATTGTTTTGTTGATAGAACCATTTATAATTATCCTAGTAGGCTGCCCCTTAAAGGGCAGTTCCTATTTTAGGAGTTAGAATATGAACATCTAAATTTTAGTGACGGCATTTACAGACCATGTGGGGCTATATCAATTTCAAGTTTAAAGCTATATTAATATGATGATAACATCCATATAAAAATATGAATAAACATATGCTCGCTTTAGGAGTCGTGTGATATTTTTCAGTTTGTTTGAGCCAATATAATTTTGAGTGCATGTTGGACTATGATTTTTTAGGAAAATAGCATTTTAGGGGTCATATTCCCATAGAAAATCATAAAGGAGGTCAAAACCTCCCAATTAACATTAGAGGGTTTGCTTTTTAATCTTCATTTTATTAAGGTACTCTCTTAAAAAAGTCCCAAAAAATGCTCAAATTGCCCCTATTCAAGCAGGGGTATTCTAATAATTCAAACCACCCAAAGGACAGGAGGGTGTGTCAAATTACTGAAATGCCCCTAATTGTTATTGGAAACCTTGAAAAAGGACAATTTGGGCATTAGATTTTCTTAAGAAGGTATCGGAGTGAAACAAAATTAGAAAAGTGGGCCATCTCATGGTAGTTGACTAACTTGGGATCTTTTGACCCCCACAATGATTTTGTATAGGGCTTTTATCCCGTAAATGATATTCTTCCTTCTTTTTTTTGGAGTCCCACATTATGCTCATTAATGTTTTGTAGTATTTGTACCATGATAAAGGGCTTATACTAAATGTTGCTTTATTGGAATTCAACGTGTATTTTTTTTAATCTTTTATACAGTAATGATTTCGTTGTCAGAATTGCATTCTTGCCTTTGCTTGGACTTTTCAAAAGCGATTACTATTATATTTCATTATTTCTATAATAGAGAAACATATGCAACTAGCAAGGTCTAATCCTTTTAACATCACATTGAAAGGTCATAGGTTCAAAACCCATCAGTGGCGCTTATATATAAAAATAAAGAATACTGCATGTTTCTCAACGAGACATTTCTTTTTCTTTTTCTTTTGACAAGTTAATAGTGAGAATGGAAGGTAGGACATTATCTTGAGGCTCTTGACCCCTAACCACTTGGGCCCAACCCCATTCCCCTCAATGAGACATTTCTTGTCAAAATGTCGATATGCTTGTTGGGGTATGAATTTTTCTAAACACGTACTGACTACATATTGGTCTTGGGTGTGGGACATGTTTCGACACGCAACATAGGAAGGAAAATGGAGTATCGGGGTAGAACTGCCTAGACATGGACATGGGTGTCATAATTATTTTGCATGTCTAATTATCTATTTCTTGATCCTAGAAAGCCAATAGGGCTGCACAAAATTGCGCTACACAAAACTGCATATTTATCATTTTATAATAAAGCAATAGACTTTTAATGCTGGTCGAACCCAA